GTTGTCTGCGTGAGGGGGGGAGCGGGAGCCAGTGCCAGTGTCGCCTCCCCTCCCCCGTGCACTGCTGCCTCTATCATGATACAGAGGCAGCAGCATAGGACTGCAGGGGGCTCCCCAAGAATGGGGCCAGGAGCACACTGGCTGCTGGCCCCACCTCTGGGCTCTGTAACCGCTAAGATTTCATGCAGTTGTGACTATTCAATTAAACTAGGGATGTTAGATAACTTGTAAAGTAGTTTAGTCTGAGGGTAGTGTACATGGCCTAGCTCTGTATACCTTCCCCTTCCCTCTCAAATATTCTATACCTGCTTCTGCTGTAATGTCTACAAAAAGTCAGCCAAGCTGTGATTACTAGCATGAGGGAGTGTTGTGGGAAGTTGATAGCTACAAGCGTGCATACGTAGATGTGTATACTTTGTAAACTCTGAACAGGGGTAGTATCTACCTGTGATTTTGTACGGTACTTAACATAAGGGCTACGTCTAGACTGGCATGATTTTCCACAAATGCGTCCATGCCAATCTAGACGTGGTTTTGCGCAAAAAAGCCCCAATCGCCATTTTCGCGATCGGGGCTTTTTTGCGCAAAACAAATCTGAGCTGTCTACACTGGCCCTTTTGAGCAAAAGCTTTGCGCAAAAGGGACTTTTGCCCGAACGGGAGCAGCATAGTATTTCCACAAGAAGCACTGATTTCAGACAGTAGGAAGTCAGTGTTCTTGCGGAAATTCAAGTGGCTAGTGTAGACAAAGCAAGTGCTTTTGCAGAAAAACTTGCCAGTCTAGACGCAGCCAAGGGGTATCTAGCTCAACAAGGGACTTTTGGGTCCTAGTTATGTAAATATGTAACAATAACAAGATCTTTGTAGATAATCGAGAAGCAGCTCGGGGGTGGGAGGTGGTAAAATGCATGTGAAAATGAAACCTTGTTCCAGAGTGTTCTAAGAGGATGCAAAGGAAAGTTAGTGAAAATAGTGAGAAGTCAGTCTGACTTCAACAAGAGCTTTTAATTACTGAAAAATCTAACAGGAATTCTACAAAATTAGAAATGGGCAAATTGCTGTGGAGGAGTGTGTGGGGTTTATAAAAAAAAAAAAAAAACCCACCAGCAAGGCTCCTGTACGGAATGATTTATACTTACCAAGGGACATAAAAGGCAATAAGAGGTTCTTTAAATACATTGGGAGCAAAAGAGACCAGTCCAAGTGGGCTGCTACTTCTCAGACACACATCTAATTACTGAGGATATTAAAAAAGCTGAGATGTTCAATGCCTATTTTACTTCAGTCTTCACACAAAAAAAAGTTAATGAGCAGTGTGATGGGGTGCGGTCAAAGACAACCCCTGGGGGGGGCCTCCTGGGGTACTGATACGGCCACTGCCACTCGCCTTCCTGCTCTCTGGGGCTCCTCACTGCCTGGTCCTGCTGGGCCAGCTCCCTGTTCCCCTCCAGCGAAGGTACCAAGCTGCGATCAATACCCTCCCAAGGAGCAGTACAGACGTTGAACCTCTTTAGGTCCAAGGCAAATGCAGTTTATGGCCAGCTTCCCGGGATACCACTCCCCAAAGGGATCAGAAACCCCTATGAATGACTTGGGTGAGCCCCCTCTAGCAATAAAGAGGGAATGTGTACACTGGATGCTCCACCAGGCAACAATTATTTACACTGGGCTTGATAATAAATAAAAGCGATTTTATTAAGTACCAGCAGTAGGACTGAAGCGGGAATAAGTGAGAACAAGCCGAGCAAAGTAGATTGCAAACTCAAAATAACAGAAAATGCTTCGCTACTTCTGCACTGAATCTTCAGTGCAAACTCCTTACAAACGGGGCTTTCTCCCCCTCCCTGGGGCCTTTGGCTCCTTCCTCCAGGTGCAGCCCAGCCAAAAGACCCAGGCCTCTCCTTTCCTAGTCCTTTTGTTAGACTTGAGGCCACTCCCTACCAACCACTGCTAGGACTTAAGGACAAAAGAGACAGTTTAACAGTTGCTCATCAAGACTTTGAAGGTAACACCCTCCATGTCTCTCATTCATACTTTGAAACCCACAAAGTGTTCCCTGATCTAGATGTTTAGTTTTACACCCAAAAATGATACATACACCAAAGTAAGCTTAAACAGAACCAGCGAATCATGCCACGAAGATTGGTGGGTTACACGAAATAATTCGCTATCATGTCCATAAATCCATTTCATAAAGCGGGGGGGGGGGGGTCCATCACAACCAGCTATTCCATATAAGGAATATTAACAATGAAGGGGATGGAATGTAAACCAAAAAATAGAACTGCTTAAAGAACATTTAGGTAAATAAGATGTATCCAAGTCGGCAGGGCCTGATGAAATTCATCCTAGGGTACATAAGGAACTAGCTGATATAATCTCAGAGTGGTTAGCAGTTATCTGAGAACTCATGAAGGATAAGTGAGGTCCCAGAAAACTGGAGGAGGATAAACATAATCTCTGTCTTTTAAAGACGAGCAAAGAGGACCTGGGGAATTAGACTAACTAGCTGAATGTCAGAAAGATACTGGTTCAAATTATTAGTTTTTGTAAACTGCTATAATATAATTGGGTTATAAAGAATAGTCAGCATGGATTTGTCAAGAGCAAATCCTGACAAATCAGTTGGCCTATTGGATGGGGAGAAGCAGTAGATGTGATATCTTGATTTTAAAGAATGCATTTGATACAGTCCCACAAACAAACTAGGGGAATGTTGTCTGGATGAAATAAAGTATAAAGTGGATGCACAACGGGTTGAAAGACCATGCTCAGAAAAGTTATCAATGGTTTGCTGTTAGCAAGAGCAAATCCTGACAAATCAGTTGGCCTATTGGATGGGGAGAAGCAGTAGATGTGATATCTTGATTTTAAAGAATGCATTTGATACAGTCCCACAAACAAACTAGGGGAATGTTGTCTGGATGAAATAAAGTATAAAGTGGATGCACAACGGGTTGAAAGACCATGCTCAGAAAAGTTATCAATGGTTTGCTGTTAGATTGTGTTTGTCTGGTACTAGTCAACATTTTTATTAATGACTTGGATAATGGAGTGAAGAGCATACTTATAAAATTTGTGGGTGATGCTAACTGGGAAGGGTTGCAAGGACTTTGGAGGATTAGAATGCAAAATGACTGCAATATTGAAGTATTGTTCTGTATTCAACAAATGGACTTAAATAAAATCAAGCGCAAAGTACTTTAAGAAGTCAGAATCACACGCTCAGCTACTAAATGGGGGAAAATTGTCTTTGTGGCAATACTGTTGAAAAGGATTTGGGAGTCAGTGGAATAGAAATGGAATCAGGGTCAGCAATATGATACAGAAAAAGATTAATATTGTTCTGGGGTTTATTAACAGGAGTGTTGTGTATAAGAAATTGGAGATAATTGTCCTGCTCTATTTAACACTGATAAGGCTGCAGCTGGAATACTGTGTTCAATTTTGTGCACCGTACTTCAGGAAAGATGTGGACAAAGTGGAGATAGGTCAGGTTTTCTAAACCTTGTATCATTTTTACAGCTCTCTTCTAGACTAAGAGGGAAGGTTAAAATAAAGTTTAGCTTTCAGAAAAGAAGACTGATGGGGAACCTGATAAGTCTTTATATGGTGAGTGCTGTTAACAATTGATCACCATCCTTTTTACCTCCATATCTACTGAAGGGTAGTACAAGAAGTAATGAGCTTAATCAACTGGAAGGGGGAGGTTTAGGTTAAGTATTAAAGAAAATGTGCTAACTGTAAGGGTAGTTAAGTTCTGGAACAGGCTTCTAAGGGAGGTTGCGGAATCCCTGTTGGAAGTTTTTAAAAACAGGTTGGACAAGCACCTTTCAGGTATGGGCTCTGTCTGCTTGGTCTTGCCATACTGCAGGGATTGGACTTGATGACTTCTCAAGGTCCCTTCTATTCCTGTTGGGTTCACTAATTTTCAAGTGCTGCTTTGCACTGGTGGTGGTGGTGTCTCTGCTTTTCCTCTGACTTTTTTTTCTTTTTTTCAGGACTATAAAGCTGATGAGGACCCAGTATTGTTTCAGTCGATGACGACCAAGAGAGGACCTTTGGGGCCTAACTGGAAGGTATTGTGAGCTGACATTACAAGTTCTTCCTCGTAAATGCTGGATCCAGGCAAGCTGGGGGCCGCATTTGGCCCCCGGGCCTTAGGTTCCCCGCCCCTGCTTTATGTTATACTGACATGACAAATATATTTTAGTTTAATTGGATTTGAAAAGGAGAAGAAAGTGCTTTTGCTATGTTAGTGAACAAAATATACTATTGCAAAAATGCTGTATTAATGTTTAAAGTAGACAAGTTGATGTGAACCTTTTGGGATCATAAGGTTAATTATGGAATTGTTATATTGAAAAAAAGTACTAACATTGTTATAGATACACAGCTGAGTTCCATACTACAGTGCAGTCCATATGAGTCACGTGTGTAAGAACACTATTGATTGTTTCTCATTTTACATTGCAAGGTTCTGTATAGGGATGTAAAATTTCGATTAATCAGCTAATCGAGTAGTCGATGTAATTTCCATCGACTACTCGATCAGTTGATAAGTTGGGATGGGGCACTCGCACCTGCAGGGCTTTTACTACATTTAAAAGGCAGAGGCGCAGCAGGGAACCCAGATCGAACGGGAACTGCTTCAGTCCCTGCTCGCGCTGTTTCCCCCGCTGTGCCGCTGCCTCCCTTGCTCCTCTGTGGCGATGGTGCTGGGGAGAACCAGCTTTTAAGATGGCTTCCCCCAGCACTGGCTCCTGCTCCCCCCACCCCTCTTGCTGCCTCTGATACTGAGGCGGGGGGGCTACTAGCTACTTGGCTCTGGTGAGGCCACATCTGGAGTATTGTGTCCAGTTATGGGCCCCCAATTACAGGAAGGATGTGGACGCACTAGAGAGGGTCCAGTGGAGGGTGACCAAAATGATTAGGGGACTGGAGCGCACAACCTATGAGGAGAGGCTGAGGGATTTGGGCTTATTTAGTCTGCAGAAGAGAAGAGTGAGGGGGGATTTGATAGCGGCCTTCAACTTCCTGAAGGGAGGTTCCAAAGAGGATGGAGAGAGGCTGTTCTCAGTAGTGGGGGATGGCAGAACAAGGAGCAATGGTCTCAAGTTGTGGTGGGAGAGGTCCAGGTTGGATATTAGGAAAAACTATTTCCCTAGGAGGGTGGTGAAGCACTGGAATGGGTTACCTAGGGAAGTGGTGGAATCTCCATCCCTAGAGGTGTTTAAGTCTCAACTTGACAAAGCCCTGGCTGGGTTGATTTAGTTGGGATTGGTCCTGCCTAGGGCAGGGGGCTGGATTTGATGACCTTCTGAGGTCTCTTCCAGCTCTATGGTTCTATGATTCTAGTTGCTTACATCCCTAGTTCTGTAGTTTGGGATCTTGCCACCTTTCTTTACTACAGAACACTATGCATCCTATTCTACTATGTCATTAAGAGAGTGTTAACTCCCTTGTTGTCCAAAGAAACTTTGTTCACTTTTTTCCTTAGACTAACAGGAGCGGAATAGAAAGAATTTATAGAAATAAGAAGCAAGTGATCAGTGGGGAGGGAAAAAGTAAGGTGCTGGTAAATGAAAACAAAGAAGGCAGCAACAGTTGAATAAAAGCAAAGCCCAACCTCTTTCCTCTCTTGTGTGTCTGGCACTCCAGTTCATAGTGTTGTAGTTCACCAGAGACCACTGCAACAATAGAGCTACTTATCATCATCAACAACCATGGGCTTCAACGCCCATTGGTGTCCAATACCTCCCTCACTATTTCCTTCCATCTTTCCCTGTCCAGTGCGGAGTGGCTTAGTTTCTGTAGACTAGCTCTGCACCAATCTACTGTATCATCTACCCATTCTCTGTGGGGTCTGCCTCTCCTATTCGGACCATCCATTATGCCGAATACCAGGGTCTTAACTTTTCACTCGTCGTTCGTTATGCAGATATGCCCGAATAGCTGTAACTTCCGGTGTAAACCTTCTGCAGTAGGTTCTCTTTTGGCTGTATCTTCCTATACAATTCCTCGTTGGTGACCTTCTGCATCCATCCTATTCTCAGGATCTTTCTATAACCACTCCTCTTGAACGCCAATATCCTTCTCGCGAATCTTTCGTTATCACCCATGTCTCACATCCGTACAACATGCTGCTAATGCTGATGCTTAATTGATGAGTTTAGGTTGAGAGATCATACACCTAGCTTAGGTATGCGCTTGGCTTCTTGAACTCTTGGTTCTGATACATATTCCAAAGGATAAGCATGGACGTGTGTCCCTAGTATTTTTCATGATTTATGGACTCAACCTTCTGTTAAGTGGCTTGTGTGCACAGTGATGAAAGAGTGATTTAAACTGTAATTTGACTCACATTTTTGCTTCAAGGCAAAGCCTTCATGCCTGCATATCTCAGTAGTCATGGCTACATATACCATAGGCCATGAGGGCAGGGGACCAGACTCTATGACCTCTTGAGGTCCCTTCCAGTCCTAGTATTCTATGATTCTATAGTCACTTACAATGCCAGTCTTTCTTAAATGCATTAACAAGCTGCCTGTTCACATGTTGAGTAAAATCATCATCATCATCCTGATGCCCCTGGGTTGATTGAGATTTAGCTTTTCTCTTAGTTTTATGTGCGGAAAGCTTTATTCCTGTAAAGAGAAGTATTCAATTCTTTGAAAGCTCTGTTAACGCTGTCGCTTTTCTACAGAGACGGGCTTTGTTTATTGGGATTATTTTGGTGCATAATTTGATAGGTGGTTGTCCAAATACCATCATGGCCATCGTGTCTCATCCTTGAGATACAGATCTGAGACACATAAGTAATGGGTAACCTGCCTTGGAAATCTTCTTACAGAAACCAGGACCCATAGCTGAGTTTCTTCTTCATTGTATAGTGAGCAAGATGATGCATAGGTTTCTCTTTTGCCTTCTGAAGTATCAGGTGGTGGCTGCCTTACTAGTAGTGGTATTCTGGACTTGATGGACCAGTAATCTGATCTCACATGGGTAGCTTCCTATCTTTCTCAGAAAGATCATCTCAGAAGGTGAGGTCAAGCCCTCAGTGATTAGAATTTGACACCTGGAAGTAGCTTACATCATGTGAAGCAGCCCTAGCATAGAAAGATAAAAATGTTCTTCAGCTAGAGGCTGAGCACAGAAGCTGAACCAATGTGAGTATAGCTTTATGGCATAGTTATTTCAAGTTTTCCAGTGCGTTGAGGCTTGTTTGTTCTGTGGCGTTGCGTGTCCTTGGTAGGAGTGAGTTCCAAGGACAGTGACTTAAATGAGGTGAGGTTTGGAGTGCAATGTTAATATGACTTGATATGCTATGGCCTGTGCATGTTGTGATTTGGCTTCAGTTGAACGTTTCTTGTAGAAATGTATTGCGTAACTGTCACAAATTCTTAAACTGTCATTCAAAAAGTCTCTTGTGTTTGGTTGCTAAGAATCCGAATGTGAAATGAATGTACTTGAGTCTGCAAACAACATCAAGTAATAGCTCTGAGCATTCTGAACTGCCCCATCGGTGTAGTGACATACTTTGTCACTATTTTACTGCTCATCATTTTTGCAGACATATCAAGATAAGGACGTATCGGGTAATAGTTTAGAATGCAGTGGGTCAGCAACTCCTGTCTGTTTCCTGTCCCCACACATAAGAATGAAGGAGATGCATCTTCTCCCTGATCCCAAAAGCCTCAACTGCATCTTATTTTGTCAAGCACACTCACTTCCATGCCTAGCAGGCTCATGAGCCTCTGCTTCCTTGTAGGGAGCTTAAATAGCAAGGGACATGCTAATAGGCCTCAATGGGATTGTGGTCTGAGATTGTAAAATTGAAGAAACTTTGATACAAGGGCTTTACATATCCTTGTCCCCAAGGTGTGGATGCACCTTTCGTGTTCTTGAGTTATGTTAGCTCAATTTATCTACATCTTTTTATGGCTTATCTATTTTACAGGTGCTAGTGTCTCAGAGGGGTAGCCGCGTTAGTCTGTAAGAGTATGTCTACACTACGCGCTTATTTTGAAATAAACGTCCACACTACAAATGCCCATTGAAATAGCGCAGAGCTGTAGCTAAATAGAGCGTCCATATTGACTGGCACCTGAATCACATTTAAAGCCCCTCAGAAGCACTCCGGGCAGGGCATGAGGACAGCAGTCGCTTCCTAGCTGCTGCCTGAGGCTAGCTGAGGCTCGTGCTTAAAGGGACCCCCCTGTACAGTCGTGTCTCGGGCGCTTCACCTTTGCCTACCTCCTCGAGGGACAGCAACCTCTTCTCACTACCTGCTCTGCTTGCCCTTGCGCACACCACAGCACTCCAGCCATGGAGCCGGACCTGCTGCAAAGCACTCACTGGCTCTTGGACCTGCTGCCGCACCTCCTGGTGCAGTTACTGCAGGCTGCCCACATGGCACTGCAGGAACAGGACCAGCAGCTCACTCTGGGGCACATCCTCACTCCACTCCACATGCTGCTCATGCACCACAGCCCCTCCCACCATCCCCTGCACACCGTGCACCGCTGCTTCTGACTCTGGGACACCAGTTTTGACTGGTGGGGCCGGCTCATCATGGAGCAGTAGCTCCAGAACTTCTGTATGCAGAAGGACACCTTCCTGGAGCTGTGCAAGTGGCTTGCCCCTGCCCTCCGGCGATGGGACACCCACATGCAACCCGCCATCCCCACCACACCACGCTGGACAGATACCGCTCCTTTAGGAACCAGTTCGGTGTGGGGAGATTGACCGTCAAGGCTGTGCTCATGCAGGTATGCCTCTCTTCCTAGTGTCCTAGGAGGGTGGTGAACTGCTGGAATGGAGTTCCCTAGGGAAGGGGGAGTGGACTCTCCCTCCCTGGAGTTTTTGCAGTCCCGCCTTCACAAAGCCCTGCTGGGGATGGGGTAAGCTGGGGTTGGGCCTGGTGTGGGAAGGGGGTTTGGTTCAGGGACCTCCTGAGGGCTATGGCAACCATGTGATTCTATGTTTGTATCCTTCTACAGGTGGTGAGGGCCATCAACACCATCCTGCGCAATGTGGACCCCATCATGGCTGTCTTTGCTGCCATGGGCTTCCCCAACTGTGGGACGGGGGGCCGCATTGACAGCCCCCGACCACCGGGCCTCCGATTATATCAACTGGAAGGGGTACCTTTCAATGGTCCTGCAGCCCTCGTTGACCACCAAGGCTGGTTCACTAACATCAACATCGGGCAATCGGGGAAGGCGCAGGACACCCACGTCTTTAGGAGCTCCAGTCTGTTCCAGAAGATGCACGCCGGCACTTTTTCCCTGGCCGCACCATCAGGATCAGGGACGTGGACATGCATCCCCCACGACACATGCAGCCTATCCTTTGCTCCCATGGCTGATGAAGCCCTGCACTGGACACCTAGACCTTGTGAAGGAACATTTCAACACCAGGCTCACCCACCTGGACCTCAGCATGTGGAACATTCCCAGGTGGTGGTGGCCTGCTGTGTCCTGCACTATCTGAGCAAGAACAAGGGGGGAGACGTTCCTGCCAGAGTGGCAGGGTAGAGGCCGAGCAGCTCGCAAGGGCCTTTGAGCAGCTGTGCACCGCTGCCTTCTGGCAAGCCCATCGGGGGCTGTGTGCATCCGGGAGGCCCTCAGGGAGAGTTTCAGACAAGGCCAACTGTGACACTCTCCCCTAGGCCTCCCTGCAAGGGACCTCTGCATTGCCCCGCTGTGCCTTTCCTCCCCGCCCCCCTATTGGGATTACCTCAGTTGCCCCGTGCGGACCCCTAGCACAATCCCAGGGTCCACCGTCTACTGCAATCACCAGTCCTTACCCCTTGGCTGCCCTTGACCACCCTCAGGGTCCTCAGTTCGGCCCTATGAACAGTACGTGTGCAGTAACTAGTCAGTTGGTTATCAGTTCCGCCCATCTCCGCAGACTCTGTCTCACTGCTGGGCGGGGGTAGGGGAATCCGGGCCCTCCCACTCCTCTCTCATAGTTCAGCCCTATGAATAGTACATGTGCAGTAATTAGTCAATTGGTTATCAGTTCCGCCCATCTCTGTAGACTCTGTCTCACTGCTGGGTGGAGGGTAGGAGTACCTGGGCCCTCCAGCTCCTCCAGGTCCTGGCCCAGAGCCCTAAAAGTAGGGGCAGCTGCTACTACCTGGCTGACAGGGGCATCCAGATGGCTGGAATAGCTCCTGGGGCAGGCGCTCGCACCTCTGGCCCTCCTCTGGGCCTGGCCCCTTCAGGGCCGACCGCAGCCTGCTTGGCTGTAGTTTCGGAGGGCGGGACGCTCCCGTCCTCTGTAGGGCAAGCTGGCGTCCTCCCGGATGGCGGCCTGACTCCTCCCTCCCCCCTGCTCTCCGCGACGCCGGCATTTAAAACGCCCGGCACGCAGCTCGAGCATGTGCCTCAGTGGCGCGGGGGCAGCTGACCGCGCCACTCCACCGTGGCTCCGACCCGGTGGTGGGGTCATTGTGCCCCGTCACACCAGCCATCAGCAGCACCTCAGTCATTGGCCACTGAGCCCCTGGGTGCTTCTAGTGGGTGGGAGTTCCAGTTGTTTCCCATCACTATGTGCTTCCTGTGCAGCGTTCCGTGTGCCACCAGGGCCTGGCGCTGGGGAGAGACTAACTTCCCCTACCACCACTACTGATCCCCCTGCCCTGTGAGGAGGCACTGCATCCCGGTGCCTCTTCCACTGAGGCTTCTGCCCCTGTTCCTACTCCTTTCAGGAGGGTGGATTTTGGTAAGCTCAGAGAGCTGATAGGTAAGGTCCCATGGGAATCGAGACTGAGGAATGTTGGCAGTTTTTCAAAGGGACATTAAGGGCCCAAAAGCAAGCTATTCTGCTGCGTTGGAAAGATAGAAAATATGGCAAAAGACCAGCTTGGCTTAACCATGAGCTCTTGCATGATCTAAAAATAAAAAAGGAGTCATATAAAAAAATGGAAACTAGGAGAAATTTCAAAGAATGAATACAGGCAAACAACACAGGAATGCAGGGGCAAGATTAGAAAGGCAAAGGCACAAAATGAGCTCAAACTAGCTACGGGAATAAAGGGAAACAAGAAGACTTTTTATAAATACATTAGAAGCAAGAGGAAGACCCAAGGACAGGTTAGGCCCACTGGTCAGTGAAGAGGGAGAAACAGTAACAGGAAACTTGTAAATGACAGAGATGCTTAATGACTTCTTTGTTTCAGTCTTCACCGAGAAGTCTGAAGGAATGCCTAACATAGTGAATGCTAGTGGGAAGGGGGGAGGTTTAGAAGATAAAATGAAAAAGTTAAAAATCACCTAGAAAAGTTAGATGCCTGCAAGTCACCAGGGCCTCATGAAATGCATCCTAGAATACTCAAGGAGCTGATAGAGGGGGTATCTGAGCCTCTAGCTATCATCTCCGGAAAATCATGGGAGACAGGTGAGATTCCAGAAGACTGGAAAAGGGGCAAATATAGTGCCCATTTATAAAAAGGGAAACTACAGACCAGTTAGTTTAACTTCTGTGCCAGGGAAGATAATGGAGCAAGTAATTAAGGAAATCATCTGTAAACACGTGGAAGGTGGCATGGTGATAGGGAACAGCCAGCATGGATTTGTAAAGAACAAATCATGTCAAACCAATCTGATAGCTTTCTTTGATAGGATAACGAGTCTTGTGGATAAGGGAGAAGCGGTGGATGTGGTATACCTAAACTTTAGTAAGGCATTTGATACGGTCTTGAATGATATTCTTATCAATAAACTAGGCAAATACAACATAGATAGGGCTACTATAAGGTGGGTGCATAACTGGCTGGATAACCATACTCAGAGAGTAGTTATTAATGGCTCTCAATCCTGCTGGAAAGGTATAACAAGTGGGGTTCTGCAGGGGTCTGTTTTGCTCTCTTCAATATCTTCATCAACAATTTAGATATTGGCATAGAAAGTACGCTTATTAAGTTTCAGATGATACCAAGCTGGGAGGGGTTGCGACTGCTCTGGAGGATAGGATCATAATACAAAATGATCTGGACAAATTGGAGAAATGGTCTGAGGTAGACAGGATGAAGTTTAATAAAGACAAATGCAAAGTGCTCTACTTAGGAAGGAACAATCAGTTTCATACATACAGAATGGGAAGCAACTGTCTAGGAAGGAGTACAGCAGAAAGGGATCTAGGGGTTATAGTGGACCACAAG